GGTTTCTTTGGAAAATTGTTGGTTCCCTTTGTCTGTCACCAAAAATTAGATTAACGTTATGAATGCATCCTGTGTGCTAGGCCTCATACTAAGCCTGTCGTGCAGTTTGTCTCATTTATCATAGCCTTGTAAGGTAAGTAGCGCTGTGATACCAGCTTTATAGAGTTCAGCTTAGAAAAGTTAACTAATTTTCACAGGACTCTGTTGGATGAAAAGTTTAGAGCTACACTGTGAAACTGGAGCCTGACTGCACTGTGTCCCCATGAGAAAATGACATTCTGGCATCTACTTGAGGATCAATCTTTTATCAATAATGCTGACTTCAAAAAGGCTTTCTAGGAACTCATCAACACAGACTTAACTAGCTTCTTAACACTGACTAGAATTTTTATCTCTATGAAAATAGGTGATTTCCTCTATGCCTAAAATTCTTCCTTATAACTGGTAAATTATGTCCCTTATATATTTGACTCTAAAGAACCAAATTTTCTTTGAAAATTTCAAAAGTTTTTAGCAGTAAGTGCACCAAATTTTTTCTCAGACGTTTCTAGTATTTTAGGGTATCTTTCAAAAGAAATTCTTGCTTTGCTTCTTCTATATGCATTGTCTTAAAATTAATATTTCACCACTGAAAACAAAAAGAATTTCCAGAAACACTTAGGAAATGAAAAAAAATTGGAAAAGGTATGAATTAGGTGACAATCTGAACTGGAAAGGGCTGAGTTTTATTTGTTGTCACTCATTGCAATTCTAAAATAAGTTTAGAAAAGTCAATCTATACATCCCCTGCTCATATATATGAGAGAATTTAATTATAACTCTTATTTGTTACAGTTACAAAAGCTCAAAGTTATGAAATAATTTAAGCAACAAAGAGACTTTAAGAGTTTTGTTTTGTTTTTAGAGTTTGTAAAGTTGACTCATATGGAGTGAACAGGTTGACATGCAGTTAGATGGGTCTGGGTCCCTAGTCACTTAGAGCTTGACCTCCAGTGATTCCTAAATACCTAAAAACCCACAGTCTAACCAGGTGTAGTGTTCATGTGTATTGTTCAAGCTGCTGGGAGTTTGAGGTGGGAGGATCACTTTAGCCTGAAGTTCCAATGGGCAACAAAGTAAGACCCTATCTAGAAACAAAACAAAACAAATCCTTAGCAAAAGATTCTGCTGTCTGTGTCACTGACTGACCACACTGTATGTGTCTTCAGTTTTCTATCTTTCACCTTGTATGGGATCTTTGCCTTTGGAGTCTGAAAGCACTAATGGTCTAATAAACTCTTTGTGTCAAACTCACGCAGAGGAAGTTTATAGATATTTGGTGAGTGTGGCTTAGGCAAGAGATTTCCTTCCTCTTTGTCCTAAGAGTGATTCAGATATGTTGGGTCTGGCTGGTGGGGAGGAGGACCCAAACCACAAAATACTAAATGAGTAGTCTCTTTTTTAAGAGAAAGACTGAAAAGATTTTATTATACAGGAGGTTTATGTAATGTACAGATTTCCAATGTGAAGATCAATTTAATGGCCAACTTGAAAATGGAAACATAATTTTAAGTTTTAAAAGCATTTCTCTAAACACAATTATGTAAATTACATCTGTATCTTCAAGGTGAGAGTCTCCAGCATTTTGTTTTTAGATCCTACTAGTTTCTTTTAAATGAACTAAGTTAGAAGTTCTCCTGTTGTTCGCTCGGAGTAGATCTCTGACTCTCTAAGAGCAGAAGAGACTGTACTTTTACCCAGTCTGTGTTGGCAAGCTTGCAAGTAGTGGCAGTGAGTCACAGCTGGAATGTTCTGTGGTTAAAATTCTGCTCTGAAAACAGAACCAGAAGCAGCAAGACACCAACTGGTTTCCATGGTAACCTATATTTGTATACTTTGAAAAATGACTGTTACTTTTTGTGTGGTAAATTTACACAGGAATGAATTGGAGAGGTGACGTTAGCTGTCTGTGTAACTATAAACAAAATTTTAAAAAACCCTGATTTAATTAAGTGTAAATGTTAAAAGGACATTAAACTGTGGGTAAGAGGATTTTTTTCTCATGGAGGCACTGTTCTATACTAATTAATCCTTTAACTTATTTGCCATTACACTGAAGCAGTTTCAAAAATGTCTATCTGATGTTTATTTCAATGCATCATTCTCTCCCCTCCAAAGGCAAAAGGAAGCTAATTGTCATTCATCAGTCCCCCGCCCCCCCATCAACTCACTGCCTTTCCCTTTCACCTCCCCCATCTCATTCACAATGTGTTATTTGAGACCACTGAGGGGCTGGGCTAAAGGTTGCTCCTTCAATGAAGTAATCCCTTTGGAAGGAAGGGGGGGAAATCCCCTGTAGATCATGTGACAATTCCACATCCTTTAGCCTTGCTGAGCAGGGAGGGAAAAAAGCTACTTATATTGTTCGTGGCCTTGTGTGTAATGAAAATACTGTGTGTCTCCTCTGCTTGATACCCAGGACTTTGTAAGTGGCTTAAGGTGATGATGGCTATAGAGAAATCGTGCTTTGAGTTTTGTTAGATAAAGGTGAAATAATTTGAGCTTTGCTCACTGATCTACGAAGTTAGGAATGAGGGATCTGGGAATGTGGCTTAGTGGTAGAGTACTTTCCTAGCATATTGGAAGCCCTGTACTGGATTTTCAGGGACACACACACACACAGGATAGGGAATTGTTTTCTTGCTTATTATGTCTGTACTTGAGAACAGGATGTTTATTTTTGTATTTGGTTCCCAAGTGAACTTCATGCAACAGAATTAATAAAAACTCTGACACTGAGCTCTCCTTCAGTGACTAGTGGTTCAGGAGCACAGATCTTAGCAACCTCCTCCACCCTAATGCAGGGCTTTTGTTCCTGTTCCTTCTTGTTTCTAATGTTTTTTCTTCCCTCTGTCATTATCCTTCCCTCATTATGACTTCCATGCAATGGGTAAAATATTAGAAATCTGATAGGAAACATATTTTTTTGAAGGCAGTATTTTTTTTAAGGAAGCATAAGTCACATGCCTGAAAAATAAAGTTCATCTTTATTCATCTGCTTAAAAAGCTTAGGCTTAGTGCTGAAGGATAAGCGAATGATATAATGGACTCTGGACTTTTGCTTGTACATCCCCACTGACCTCCCCTGAAATCTCATGAGCATGGGTGTCCTGATGAGCAGCTGATATCAGATCTCCATAAGCCAGGCCAAGACTTAGAAATCTGTGATTTATTCTAACCTTGAACAGGGCCCCTCCTGGTTTTTCCCTCTGTGGGATCAGCCCTAAAGGATCTATCCCCTTTATTACCTAAAATGAAAATAGGACTATATGATTTTAATGTTTATTTAACTATACAGGGTTAAAATAAATGCAATTTGGGGGAAATCCCAGTGTTCATTCATTGGAGAGACCTTGGGGACCTGACATCATTAAACTCTGCTCTAGGCAGAGACAGAATATTCTAAGAACTCACAGTCTATAGGGCCCGTAAGTGCTGTGCCCTCAACCACACTGCTAGGGAATGCTAGGGGATGTGATCACTTGCACAAAAGAAGTACAAATGAGGAGCTAAAAGATTTCAAAGGAAAACTAATCTAGTCTGACTATAGAGATTAGCAAAGTTCCACAGAAGCAGGTACTTCATAAAATTGGGTTATCATGTTCCATAATCTAATCAATGTGTTTCAAACAATGTTTTGTATCTTCATCTTTACATTTCTATAGCTAAAAACAATTTGGTCAGTTTGTAATTGGTTGAATCCATAATATATATTCCCACAGATACATGCACACTCATGTATATTTTCATATATATATATATGTATATATATTCCCACAGATACATGCACACCAATGTGTATATATATATATATATATATATATATATACATACACTCTCTGTGAGAATAATCAAGGAAGTTTGTGTGTCCATTATATATTTTTCATTTTATTGTGACAGGTGGCTTATCCCAAGGGTCACTAGAACAAAGTGCTCTGTGTGGACCTCAAGAGGATAAAGAGAGTATACAATAACCTGACTCATGTGGAAGCCAGTCTTTAGGAATTGTCATTATCTTCCCCAAGTGAAGAGCAACAATAGAGAAGTTTTCTTAGATTTTTAATTTTTAATTTGGGGATATCTGTCTCAGGAAATTATTAAATCAGGTACAACAGATTATAGAAATACTTATTGCAAAAATAGGCAAAGACCTATACAGAAAAAGTCCATGGGAAGAAATGTAAATGCCTACTAAACATGGAAAAAGAAAAAAATAAAGAAAAGAAAAGAGAAGAGCAAACCAAAACACGCCAGCCTCAATGTTTCAAAGTATCCTATGTAACACAAATTGAGATAATTACAAAAATAACACATTTTTTTCACTATTGATACCAATTGTAAAAGTAATAGTAATTTCAACTGAGAATGTTCTATTGGAAAGAAAAACATGTCTGTAGTTTGCCAGTTTACCAGTGAAATATCTTTCATATAAGCTTACTACCGCAAAGTAGCTCAGTGGAAGAGTACCTGTGCAGCATATATGAGGTACTGGGTTCAAACCCTAGCACCACCAAAAAAATAAAAATAATAAAAAATAAAATAGAAGAAACGCAATAATATTATATTAAGAGCCATAGAACCACAAATTGTCTCTCAGAATCATACTAGCTGCTATTTATTGAGCATCTCTTGGGTCTCATTAATATTTGAAAGCAGCCATTTCCCTTTTCTATACCTGGATTGTATTTTAAATTTTCAAGGCTGACATAAAATTTAGAAATTAGTAATTGAGTTTCCAAATTTATGGGCCTCAGAAATCAGGCGCATCTCGAAATCCCTCTCAATGCAGTTACCTATTTTTAATTTTTGTGTTAAACCTCCTGTATTCAACTTCTCTCTGCAGACGAACCACAAACCTTTCAACTAGTGTTTGCTGTATGAGTAGATACTGCTTTTTTTTTTTTTTTTTTGAAAAATCATATGAAATGCTTTTACGTTGGAACATTTCTCCTTCATTTCAGCTCTATGATGGCCAAGATCTGATTGGGCGCTACTGTGGAACCAATATCCCCCCATCTGGAAGTACCAGAAGATCCAAACTTCAAGTGCTCTTCCACACTGATGGAGTTAGCAACAAAGAGAAAGGATTTCAGATTCAGTGGCTGGTTCATGGTAAGCCTTACACTCATCTCACTTGTATTCAGTTGTTATTTGTCCAAGAATTGTTTCCTTCCTAATTCCATTCTTGCAAACAGTGCCATCAACAAATAGTGAAACCAAGCTAATCAAACGAATAATGAAACCAAGAAATTTAGTGCTAGAAATTTTACTCAGACATTGGTAGGAAGTGAAGAGTTAAATCCTGCTGGGGAGATGGTTAAAAGGAGAGGTGAGAGGAGGTGGAGTCAAAGTGAAAAGAATTTGGGTAAGTGCTTAAATAGATGCACAGATAAACTGCATCAGATGAAGAAAGCACAATGAAATTACTAAAGATGAAGACTTACATCTGGGTATAGCAGACAGATTTGACTACTTCATGTTGCCCAGCGGAATGGGTGATGTGCAGATGCCATGGGGTAGGATGGGGTCAAGGCTCACCTTGACATTGTGCAGGGAAACATTGATAGGGATCATTAATGAGAAAAAATGGGAGTCAGCCAGAGAGATCAGGAAAATGTGGGACTACAAGATCAGGAGCAAAGAATTTAAACTGAACACATGAAGCAAGGCACATGCATTGTACCTGCCAAAGGTTGCCCATTGGAACCCATCTTGAAATGGGTAATTTAGGAAGCAGGTAGACATCATCACACCTCTCAAGCTGGAAAGTTGTTTTCAGTGAGAGGCCTGAGACTTCAAGGTTTACCTCCTGTGGGCCAATCAACAGGTAGAGGCTCCCAGAGCAATGATTCTGGAAAACAGCCACAGCAGTACCAGGAACTTGCTAGAAATGCAAACTCTTGGCCCCACCCCAGGCCTAGAGAATCAGAAACTCTCAAGATAGACTCAGAAACCTGTATCTTACTTGTTTCAAAGGATTGGAGTTCAAAGGATTGGATTGGAGTTCATGAGTCACTGCCCTAAGGTAATTCAGCCCCCAAAAAATAGAGTCTTGGGAGTATCACAGCAGTAGTATCCAAGCAAGGTGTTAAAGCTCACTGGTATATTTCAGTCCACTGGAAAGAGAAGTGGAGTTGCAATTCTCACTCAGGAAGCAAGCACAGTCATCTAAGCTGTGATGCTACTGTCAAACTGGAGATACTCCAAGCACAATGAGCACACAGATGTGCCAGGGCTGACTCTTTAAGGGTTGTTGCTATTGTAGTGAACCCAGCAGAACCTCAGCACCACACAGAATTGCTGTACCACATAGCTCTATTGATCAGGCCATAACCCTATTGATTTACAGTGGGTCATATTCTGACAAATCCATTGTAAATTGAAAATATCAGCAGTCAGAAATGCACTTAATACATTTATTCTGTGAGCAAATGGCCTAACCTGGTGTACCTTAAACACACTCAAAACATTTACTTTAACCTATAATATTAGATGGGCAAAACCATCTAATGTAAAGCCTGTTTTATAATAAAATGTTGAACAGGAAATTCAAAATTCAAAGTATGATTTTTACTGAATGCATTGTGGTCAAAATGCTTATCACTTGTATGCCTTTAGTCAAAAAGTTCAAAGTCTACCTATGGTACTTTGAGTATCATCTGTGTATACTGAACAGTGTTAGATCTTCTGAGATTATGGACTGGGACAAGTATACTTACATTGAAATATACATGTAGGGTTCTAGGTATTCTTGAGGTAGATGAGCAATGATTATTAGCTTTGTGGAAACTCTGAACCTTTCTCTTCATCAGGAATGTAGATTTAATCTTCCAGTAGTCCACTCACTGATGTGATAATTGAAAGAATTGGACTGAATCATCTCTATCCTATACTCCGTATTTTAGTTACTTTTTCATCCCAGGGACATAATACCCAACACCTATAGTTTAAAGGAGGAAAGGTTTGTCTTGGCTTAGTTTGTACTGGTTTCAGTCTATAGTCAGCTGACTCCAAGGTAGAGTGGCATGGTATAGGGACCTGGCAGAGGAGAGCTTCCAGGCATGGTGGACAGGAAGCAGAGAGAGTAAGGGGAGGAGTGGGGAAGAGATAAACCCTTCCAGGCCACACCGCGGTAACCCACCTCCTCTGACCAGACATCACATTTAGCTACAAACTCAGCAGTGCACTAATCCACTGATGGTTATCATGTCTCCATGATCCAGTCATCTTCCCAAGCTTTACTTAGGAACATATGAGGCTTGAGGGGAAATCCAGGTATAAACAGTATGAGTCCATATCTAGTATTCTGGAACCACAAATATCATTCTAAATAAACTAGAGGAAACCTCCTGAAAAGTCATTGAAAGGACAGGAAAATCTCAGAAAATAGCCTGGATTTTCAAAGGCTATTGATAGCTCCAGAGTAGAAGGGTTTCTCAGTTGTTTCTCTCTCTCTCTCTCTCTCTCTCTCTCTCTCTCTCTCTCTCTCTCTCTCCTTTTCTTTTGAGGTGCTAGGGATTAAACTTAGGACTTCTTATATGCTAAGCATGTGCTACAGCACTGAGCTCCACTCCTAGCCGGCACCAGAATCTGGTAAAAAGAAATACTTTGATCCAGGACGTTTGGAGTGAGACCTGTGAGTCTGTAATAAGTTTGCAGTTGAGGTTGATGGTTCTATACTTTGAGGAAAAAGGTAAGAATGGGTGTCAAGTTTGAGAAAGAGCCTAGTAGAAAGGAAAGGCAATATCCCTAAAGACTGAAGAATCCTTCTGAGGTGCTCAAAGGGTATATTGTTGTAATAGTTTGTTTTCATCACAGCAGGGCAGTAGTAATTGGGTACCTTGTAAGAGATACTCTTATTGCTTCAAAGATCCAAAGGGGTAAAAACAAATTTACCTAGGGAGAGAAGTGTGGAAGCTAGGAAGTACTAACCAGGAGACTTGGGCTGCAGGCTCTGGGAGATGTCTTTGGCCCAAAATGTCCATTGGAATTTTCTAGGAGTTTAGAAGAGTACCTATTGCCTTGGTTCTCTCATAGCTAAGATTCAATTCATTTGTTCTTGCAGTCAGGATGAAGAGTATCAGGAGCAATGGTTTTTCTGGTCATATCTTTCTGTTCCAGAGCACCCACTCCCTGGGAGTTTTTCTAGTCATACAGTTCACAGCCACCCTAAGGAGCTCAACTGAATCCAAGTTACTGTATCACTGGATTCTTCTAGCCAACATTCCAAACTCTCTAGTGAAAGCTCTTGAGTGTTTTTAGACAGTTTTTTTTTTTTCTACCAGTTCTACTTGGAATCTATCTTCTTTTGGGAGTCAAAGATATTCTCTGTATATCCTCTTTTCCTGTTTACTATTTCCACTTTCTTGCAATTACTGAAAACTTGCTGAGCTTGGGGCCAGTTATGCAATATTTTGCCAGTTGGGAGCAGAACTTGGAAAGAAAATTTAAAACTGTGCTACCTAACAGTATATGCTACCTAACAGTATATATATATATATATATATATAAGAATGTTACTTTGGAAGAGTCTTCAGGAATTTTCTGTACTTAGAGATGTGTAAAATTAACTATGACATACTATAGTTATACAATTCCATGAGCACAGTCTACCCTCTGCATCTGAACTATATCTGTAATATGAAAGAGTCTTAGATGATCCAACAGAGGAGACAAAGATATAGGAGGTCTTCACTGGAAAGGTGCCCCATTGCTTATTCATTGAAGATAAACTGAAGATAAAGATTGTGAACTGTCATTCAGCCATTTATGCATTGGATATTAAGTTACTCTCCTGGGGTAGGGAATACAATATCACTTTTACCAATCATCATGGTTCCTTCTCCTACAGAGTTTATAGGATAATGGGAGAAGTGGTCATTTGGTAAATACACAAATAAGCAAAACTGATAAACCAGAACATACACAAAGACATCTGAATTGGGCTAAACAAACAGAGAAATCTATCATGAAAATAGGATCTTAGGGCAAAAATCTGAAAAATAAACAGGAGGTAAGTAGGAGAAAGAAAAACATTCTAGATAGAAGGAACTTGTGATCAGAGGAAGCAGAGAACCCAGGTTCAAAGCAGTTGGAATGGAGTCCAGCGGCTGCAGCCCTCAAGCAGATTGGAGAGCTGAGAGATGATCACAACCCACAGGTCACACGAGGCAGGGACACAGTAGTCGTGTGGGTTACACTCTTTCTTTATGTTCATCCTCCATGCTTTATTAAAAAAAATGGGTTTGGGTAGGATTCTGAAGGATTGAAATGTGGGTCTCATTACAGAACAAAATACAAACTACAGGTAAATATTAAACTTGCAGTCCTGCATCACTTAACATTGGGGATATATTCTAAGAAATATATTCTCAGCCAATTTCATCATGAAGGGACATTACAGTGTATTTGCCCCAATCGAGACTGCTACAATGTCACTTGGGGATGTAATCTTATGGGGTTTCTGTGGTGTATGCCATCTGACATGACTGAAACACCACTACGCAGCTCGTAACTGTCCTCTTAATTTTCAAGTGCAGTAAATTATTCTTGAATGCATTTGTGAGTTCATACACCCGGGGGGGAAAAAAATCACAATTGAATCTCTGCACTGTTAGAATCAGGTGGTGGACTCACAACCCTCAGGCAGACCTGGCCCTGAGCTGTTTTCTTAGCTGGCTAGAGAAAGCAGCTTTAAACTCCTAGCCTCTTCATCAGAATCAAATCACATCTCAGGGTCTTCCTTCTCTTGCTCTTTTGCAAGCTATGTAATAAGAGCTTTACAAATAGTATTTGCAGAGAGCTCAAAATCTACAGTGACATCATTTCCTAAGCATTCCTGTTGAGGAAGAATCCTTGCACACTTCATTCATTTTGGTGGCTGATAAATCTGTTTACCAAATGTGCTTCTTTATCAACTGCACAAATCTTCTATTTACTTTTAGAAAATAGATCTACAAACGGGCTTTCTCTGTGGGCCCATTTTCAAAGTGGCTCTGTAGAAGTAAGATGAAGCCACACTGCAGTGGCTTTATTCTGGCCCTCAAAGAGAGTCCCACCCTGGAAATAAAGGAATGGCCACAGTCTCCCTGCCTAGCTAATCGGTTCACAGT